GCTGCTTGCAGCTGAGGGAGTAGCACTATCTAGTTCCCTTGTGGTATGGAACATCCTGGGGGTAAGGGCAAGAGCTAAGGGGATGGCTTGGAGGCTTCTGGTCCTGAACATGACCTGAAACTCTACCCTGCCAGGATAGGGAGGCCTGGTGGGACTGCCAGTGGCATGGCAGCCCAACTCAAATGTCAGGACCATGAACCTCTCTGGTGAAAGGTGGGTTGAGGTGCCTTTATAACCCCAGGACCCACAAGCGGGTGGGTAACCCCTGACTGGGGCCCAAGAAGGGAGACCTGTAGGAGAGAGGGGACAAACAGCTCAAACTTGACCCAAGGTACCCTTGACTCGTCCATGCTGGGGCCAGGATCAGGATGGTTGAAGAGCCAGTGGCCCACTGCAAGGGATGCCTAGAGCTGGTGGCCTGGGGTTCTGACTGGCCTGGAAGGTGAGACTAGGACCTGTGTGGCCAAAGATCCCAGGGGTCCACGCCCCAGAGGAAGAAGGAGTCAGGGAGCTTGACTGCCTGATTAGGAGGGATGTAGTTGGGGTCCAGATTAGAGTGTTATAGGGCCCAGTGTGGGACTGGAGACATTAAGAACTTATGATGCCATCTGTGAGGCATGGGCCCATCTGTAGGGATGGTACAGAGCTGTGGACAGCACAGCCGGGCATTGGGGCATGTAATGGGCAACCTCCTGCATTTTCCACCAGTTCATTGTTATAGCAAAATCGTGGCAGGAGAGACTGGGCGGACTGCCCCACAGACAGGCAGGCAGGCTGACTTGAAATTCAGCCCCAAGCTTGCCCCCGTCATAAACACCAATCCCAAAAGAAATTGAGACCATCATCCAATACTTTCCTTGCTTAATATAGATTATTTCTCCCCGATCCCAGAATATGCATAGTAGGAGGCAAGATTTTGGGATCAGAGATCAGATCAATATATGAAAATCTCAGCATCTACCTGAATTAACAAGTTGTAAGCTAGATACTCACAGCCTGTTAGCCTGGCGCAGGGCCTGACAATCAGCTGATTGGGAATGGTTATTGGGAATGGTTATGTTAAAGACCTATGTACAGCTCCAGGGTCAGGGTGACACCAACACTAATTTAAAACCCAAGGGCCACACTGGGGCTGGGACCAACAATCAGCTGATTGTTGGCCCTGCAACCATACCAAGGGTCATATAAGACCTAAGGTATTAATTGTAATATAAATGTAACATGCAAAGGACCCCTTAATCACATTCTAACCCATTACTTAGCCTTCCATGTGTTAATATTTTAGGTTTTTATATCATTCAAGCAAAACTCAGTCAGTACACTTTATCAAAGGCTTTGGGGAGGAAATAAATAATAGCTCCTAGTTTACATTTATCCACTCTTAACTTACTTACAGGAATGAAAGAAGTATGATTTTCTCTTGCAGAAAATCATATATGTTATTTTACTTTCAGAGTTTTACAACTCTTTTTTAGTGCTTTATTTATTCAACTATTTTTTAATATTGAAATAAAGACTGGTTTTTAATTTCCAAATTAATACTCCAAATGTCACAACAGAACAAAATTAAAGTTATTGGTTCTCAAAGTAAATTTATATATCTATATATTTTGGGTTTCTTTTAAATCTAACCTTCATTCTGAATATTCTGGACTTATTTTACTCTTTTATAAGATAGTTGTAATATATCTGCAATGCATTTTATCCTCAATAATTGATTTAAATTCTCAATTTAGTTTAATTTGACATAGTTTTCTTTTAGTAAGTATACTTGATACACAATAGGGGGCATTTGAGCTATCAGCTATCAGCAAATACCCATATCTGTGGAGGTTAAACATAACATATGTCAGTTTTCCCTATATTATAGAATTCATGTACCATCTTACATTATATTACGATATTATATCATATCATGTCATAATATATGCCATGTTATATTTGTTATATATTTCATTATATTATATATGTCAGCTTTCAGTATATTAGAATTAGGAAGGAGGCAAAAGCCCTGAGATAAGTTGGGTAGTGGATGACTTGAAGGCAGCATAAGCAGGATGAAGCAACTGGGGCTGCCTTCTCATTCTTTCTGAGAAAATAGGGCAATCTGCTATTTACTTCAGAGGCCTGTACGTGAATGCAAGGGAAGCCTGGGAAACAAACAGGAGGAACTAGAATTCCTTGCACAGTCATGGAACTATAACATGATTGGAATTACAGAGACTTGGTGGGACAGGTCACATGATTGGACCACTGTCATGGATGAGTACAAACTTTTCAGGAAGGACAGCAGGAAGAGTTGCACTTTATGTAAAAGAGCCATATGATTGCTCAGAGATCCAGTATAAAACTGGAGATAGACCTGTTGAAAGTCTCTGGGTTAGGGTCAGAGGAGAGAGCAACAAGGGTGATGTCATGGTGGGTGCTACAGACCATCAGACCAAGTGGATGATATAGATGAAGTTTTCTTCAAACAGCTAGCGGAAGTTTCCATTTCACAGGCCCTGGTTTTCATGTGGGGCTTCAATCACCTGGGAGGGCAATGCAGTAGTACACAGGCAATGCAGGAAGTTTTTGGAGAGTGCTGGGGACAACTTCCTGGTGTAAGTGTTATAGAGCCCAACAAGGGGCTGTGCTCTTTTTGATCTGCTGCTTACAAACAGGGAAGAATTGGTGGGGAATATGGAAGTGGATGGCAACTCAGGCAGCAGTGACCATGGGATGATTGAGTTCAGCATGCTGAGAAAAGGAAGGAAGGAGAGCAGCAGAGTAAGGACCTTGGACTTCAGAAAAGTAGACTTCCACTCAGGGAACTGATGGGAAGCCAGTCTGAGAAGGAGAGGAGTCCAGGAGAACCAGCTTGGCTAAGCAGGAAACACTTCAGTGAGCTAAAACACAACAATGATGCTTACAAGAACTGGAAAGATGGACAAATAGCTAGGGTAAGTGGAATATAAGAGTATTGCTCAGGCATGCATGGATGAAATCATGAAGGCAAAGTACAACTGGAGAATTGGAGTTGTAGCCAGCAAGGGACATGAAGGGTAACAAAAAAGGTTCAGTATGTAAGCAAGAAGATGAAGATCAGGGAAAGTGCAGGTCCCTTTCTAAACAGGGGAGGCAACCCAGTGACAGATAACGCAGAAAATGCTGAAATATTCAGTGCCTTTTTACCTCAGTGTTCACAGGAAATATCAGCTCCCAGACTACTGCACGTGACAGCACCATTTGAAGAGGAGGTGAGCAGCTGACAGTGGTGAAAGAACAGCTTAGTGACTATTTGGAAAAGCTGGACATATGCAAGTCCATAGGGCCAGATGTGATACACTTGAGGGTGCTGATGTGATTGCTATGACACCAGCCATTATCTTTGAAAACTCATGGCAACTGGGAGAGGTCCTGGATGACTGGGAAAGGCTAAGAGAAGAAAAAGGATCCAGGGAAATACAAACCGGTCAGCCTCACCTCAGTCCCTGGAAAAGTCATGGAGCAGATCCTCAAGGAATCCATTTCTAAGAGAGATGAAGGTCATTAGGAACAGGCAGCATGAATTCACCAAAAGAAATCTCATGAAATTCAATAGGGCAAGTGCAAATTTTTGCATTTAGGACAGAACAATCCCATACACTAGTATAGACTGGGGAATGACTGGATAAGCAGCAGCTTTCCAGAAAGGACCTGGGGGTTATAGTGGACAATAAGTTGAATATGAGCCAACAATGTGTCCTGATTGTGTAGAAGGGTAACAGCACTTTGAGATGCATTAGTAGGATTATTGCCAGAAGATCAAGGGAAGTGATCCCTCTATTCAGCACTGGTGAGGCCACATCTGGAGTACTGTGTCCAGTTTGGGGGCCTCCACTACAGAAAGATGTGGACAAACTGGAGAGATTCCAGTGGAGGGCAGTGAAAATGGTTAGAGGACTGGGGAACATGACTTAAGAGGAAAATCTGAGGGAACTGGGTTTATTTAATCTGGACAAAAAAAGTTGAGGGAGGTTTTAATAGTAGCCTTCAACTACCTGAAGGGTGGTTCCAAAGATGTTGGAGCTAGACTGTTCTCAATGGTGGCAGATAACAGAATAAGGAGCAATGGTCTCAAGTTCTAGCCTGGGAAGTTTAGGTTAAATATTAGGAAAAACTCTCCCACAAGGAGGGTAGTAAAGCACTGGAACAGGTTACCCAGAGAGATTTTGGTATTTCCATTTGTGGATGTTTTAAGACCTTGGTAGACAACATTTATATGAAATAAGTACTACTACATTTACTCAAATTCAAGATGAGGGGGTTTTTTCCTCCATTCAGCAAAGGGGGAAAAACCCCTGGTCTTGGCTCAGATACAAGATGGGAGGTGGGGAGAGAAGCTGGGGCCAACTGCTGCAGCTCTGACTCCAGCCACCAGCTGCTGTGGCTCTGACATAGGCCAGTCAGAGTTACAGCAGCCACCTCCTCCCTCCCCCACCCTCTGCAACCTGTGCCCCCACAACTTCCCCCCAACCTCTGCCCCTCTCCCCCACCTTACCATCAGGACTGGTTCTTGCTCCAGCTGTGGCTCTGTTACCTCCTGGTGCACATGGAGGTTCCAACCCCTGCTCAGCACAGCTCTGGTCCTGGGATGCTGCTACTGTCTCAGTCCACAAAGGCATTAGGCTTAGTAGTTACAGCCAGGAGTGTTACTATCATCTGCAGCCAGAGAGCAAGCCAGCATTAAATGGGTTCATGTGTTGAGCGAGGGGGTTACCAGAAGCAGATGTCAGGAAACATGGCTAAGTCAAATGAGTACCCAAACACTGTGTACATAGGCAGTAATCAGGAACGGGGACCAGGAAAGCCACATGGGTGAAACCTACTCACAGACTGAAACCAGTTTGTGGCACAGCAGGGACCAGGAGTCCTAAAATCAATCAACAGGTGAAGGCTCAGCTGGCCCTGCTTAGAGGGTTGAGTGTTGCTCACTTTACAGGTGCGTGGCTGGGCAGGGAGCCATTTTTCCATATGCTCTGCGCCCCAAGAGACAATGGAGCCAAGTCTGACAGTAAGAGGAGGGACAGGGCAGAGGCCGTGGGGACCAGACATTGGGGGGAAACAGGTGGTAGGATGGAAGGGCTTGTAGGCATTGTGGATGAGAGGTAGGACAGGCTGCAAAGAAAAGAAGTAGGTTGTGGGGGGGAGCACAGAGGGCAAGTGGGTCACCTTCCCCTCTCTACCTATCCCTGCTGTAGCAATGGAGGGGACAAATTTAAGACAACCCTCCAAAAATTAGATTCTATATCTGGACACATTTAAGAAAACGCTCCAATAATTAGATTCTATATCTAATTTAAAACAAATTTATAAATGTTCCCGCTATAGAATCTAATTATTGGGGGATCAACTTAAATTCCAAGTTGTCTTGGATTTGGGGAAGTACGGCGTATACTTTCATTAAGAGGCCATGCAATTGCACCTTTTAAATCATATCTCTACAACTAAAAGGCATTGTTATTTGTAAATGTGCAGGCAGGGTTAGCCTTCTAAAGTAATTGTCTCTTTCCTTTCAATTACGAAGTATTTTTTCATATCTTGGAAGAATATTTGGATCATGATAAAGCCATATGCACAAGGTAACACCCTTTAATTTATGAAGAAATGAGAAAGCAGCTGGTTAGTGTGAGTGACATTTTCTGCTATGCACCAGATTTGCATGCCCTCAAGTATTTATTTCAAGGCTGTATTTAGAGATGTCATCAGTATTGTTACAGATCAAAGAACTTTACTAAGGGTAGAAAATATTTAATGTCTCAGTTTCCTGCAAATTAATCTAAAAAAAACTTCACTAATTATAAAACTTCTCCTTTGACTTTCTGTTCATAGGAAAACTGCCATGCTGATAATGAGCATAGATTAATTAAAGTAATGGACTAAGACTGACTTTCAGTAACAGCTGTGGGAATTTAAATTGTGTTGTGGAGAGTGCAAAACCTGTAAACACAAGAACCAAGGTGTCACTGTTCTTAATTAGTATTTACCAAATTTATTTATCTGGGTTGGTTCAGAGGCCTTTTTGTTTTTTAATCTCCTTAAATCAAGCTAACCTAATGCTTGCTGCTTTTGTTTGTTTGTCTTCTTGTATCCTTTCCACCTTCCCTTAGTACATTTCTATGTTGTCGTCCTCCAGCCATCACATCCTATTTAAATTGTTAGAAAAAAACATCTTTTAAGCTGTGGTTTTCAAATGTGCTAGCTGTCTTCTGTTATATCCTATTTTCTTTCAGGCAAGACTGCCAAGTGGAGCTATTTAGGGATCAACCAAGAACTTCCACCCAATTGTGATGAGCCATAAGGCTGTCTGCAATCATATCAGTGACCTGGTGACTATGATTCATGCCTTCATGCCTCCCCCAACCCTGCATGAAATATCATTGTAACTTTCTGTATCCAACCACAATAACTGATCATTCACAACAGATTCTTCAATGAATCCAGAGTGCAGCAGCTTTCTGTTCAGAAGCATGAGACAAGTGAACACCTCAATCTGGTGCATGGCGCAGCTCAATGGCCTGTGACAAAATATCAGCCAATTTCAGAATTAATCTACAAAGCCAGTTACTGCATAGTGGTAGATACTTTGGAGAGTATCCTTTTCTTCATAATGGCAATCTCCTCTGACAGCTGTGTTGAACAAAAGAATAGCTCAGTTATAATAGTGTTAGCCTCAAACCTGTGACACCCAGGACTTTCAGCAAGTCACACAGACTTATTAAGCACTTGGAATTAGGCACCTAAATATGATTCTATTCCATCCTGAAACACTGTTTAAAAAGTGTAATGAGTCCTTCCCCTTTCTCCTCCCTGTTTTTTTTTTTTTTTTTTGTGACTACATTTATGTCTAAGTGTGTTTCAAAAACAGCATCATAACAGCATGTTTCATTGTATGGGATGGAGGAGAACTGTATTGAGTCCTCTTAGGTCAGTACAATCGACATAATAGGATCTGGCCCATAATTTCTCCTGTGTGGGATCCATGAGGACACATGTGCATCAGCTGTTCCTTTAAGCTACTTGTAATCTGCAATTCCTCTAGTACCATTGGTGTCAATATTACATTTATGTTATGAACATGAAATGAATAAAGGACTGGCTCATGAGTACATGTTGACTTTTTCTTCAGTTGGGCCAAGGCTTCAGAATTCATTAGCAGAGGAGATAAGAATGAGCACTGTTTCACACCCTTGCAAGTAAAATATAGAACTGACTTATTCACCTAAAAAGACACACAGAGACATTTGAAAGCAGCAAAAATAAGAGAGAAGCTGTAGGAGTCAAAAAGGCTGAAGCCAGCAAGGAAAAGTGGAGAGAAGTTGTGTTAAAACAGTAAACAAAAATATACCCCTAACTTTGACGGCCTCAGGGGGAAGTAGAGAGGAAAATTAGACAACTGGCTAGTTGTTACAGTAGTTATTATTTCCTCAGAGGCACTTAGATGCCTCAGTGATGGATGCTACTATAAGAACTAGAAGCCAGCAAGCTAGCTAGAAGAAATTAAAATAATGTATGACCTGACTTCAATGGCAGCAGGATCAAGTCTTTACTCAGCAGGTATGTGATAAGAAATTTATTAGGGGTAGTCTGTTTAAAATTTATCTTTCTGTTCCTATTAATTGCTTTTTGAACTGTTTTATTATTTTAGAAATAGAGATGTAATACATTTTACCAATTCACATTTAATATAGGGGGGTTAATTTGTGGTTGGTTTCTTGATTCTCAAAAGCTTTTGGAACAGAAGAAAGTAAAATAGAAGGGAGAGAAAGAGGGAAGGAGAAAAGGAAAGAAGGAAGAAGAAAAAGAGCAAGTCTGGCCACTCTTATTTTCTGGTCCTGAAACAATGACACTGTGAGAAACCCAGTGCACAGGGATCTTACCTGGCACATGGGAGAATGAGGTTCATATCTTTGTGCTAATGAATATTTAATAACATATACAATGTGAAATAGCTTGAGGAGGAGGGATTGAGAAAGGCCCACCCAATTCTGCTACACTGGAGTGGAGGAAACAGTTATTCCATATTCCAAGGAGAGTGCTCTAACTATTGGACTGTTCTGGACTGGAGGGATGGGGACAGGAACAAAACCAGAAGGAGATGACATGTATGCACCAGACAATCTGGAAAACCCTGGCCAATCTCTTTTGTCCATCTTGGGTATGAATTAACGTTGCCTACAACAAGCAGGGAAGTAAATCTTACCAGGCAGGGCACCTCTGTACATGCATATTAATGCAACACTATAAATTCTCTGGCTTATCATGCTGGAGTTTATTGCTCCTGGGCCCATGTTTACACATGTGCTTGGGACTGTAACATGTTGAGCTGGGTTCGAACAGCCATGGCTGGCAGGAGTCTGGGAGTTCAGCCTGCCAGCTGGGGGCTGCTCTGATCCAGCTCAATGTGCTGCAGAGGGACAGGCTGGGGCACAAGCGTGCTGCAGTGTGGGGCTAGCCAGCAGGCAGCCCCGGCACAAAAGTGCTCTCATGCCCCAGACAGCCAGCTCAGCATCTACACAGGTGCTGCTGTTGAGTAAAAAAACTCTGCAGCAAGACAGTTTGCTGCAGAGTTAATTAGTGTACTCCACAGTAAATTTCTTGTGTGGATGCACCCACAGAGTAGTACTTTGCTGTTGAGAAAAATTGGGCACATATAGACTTGAGTAGCAGCTCAGCTTCAGTACTGAGGATATCAGTAACACCAAAATGATGGACAAAAAATTCCAAATATCTTTGGTTGTTTCAGTGGTTTTTAAGAAAAAAAAATTTTTTCAGTTAATAAAATGGATCCTATGAATTTCCAAAAACTGTTTCTCATAATGAATTATATTTTGCATGCACTGCATGTTATAGAGCCACTACACTGCTAATACACCAAGTACCATTGATTTCAATAGGCTCCATAGTGCAAAACACATTATTCTTAATCCGAATTGACATTTTACAGAGAAACTGCTCCAAAGGAACTGTTAATGTGTATGCTGTCAATGCCTATAACATCTAATTTGTAAAAGACATCCAAATCTGTGCATATTACTCTTAAAATGCATTCACAGCATTAAGTGGAGTGGCACTGAAGGCCTTGCTGAATATACTGTAAATGTGTATGCACCGGGTGTTGCAAATATGCCAGATGCTGCCACAACTGAATCCTGTTATGAACTGCCCTTGGCAGTGCACAAAAATAATATGAGGGGCTAGAAAGTTGCTTAATTATTTCTATGGTTTATTCTGGTCTTTGGAGTTATGTTACATATTTTTGAAAGGTGCCTGCTGGATCCTTTTCTAGAAATCATTTAAATCTATCTTGCCATATCTTATTTCTAGGAATATTCAGTAGCCTGTTGTGACAGGTTTTCCTTTTCTCCCACCCAGTATATATGTATTGTAGAAGATGCTTAAAATTCAAAGGAGAATTGCCCCTGGTGTGCTAATTCCATGATAGTATGGAACTGGTATAATGGGTTCCTGTGTCTCCTTCCATATAGCAGAGGGATAAAGAAAAGGAAAGAATCAACATTATGTGCTCAAACAATTCTGATCCTGCAGATGGTTTCTTAAGAACCACTGCTAGCTGGCAGAGGCCAGAGTAACTTTTTAGTTGCTATAAACTTCATTGAGGCTAGGATTGGGACATAGAGTTATGAGATATAGCTAGGTTTTTGATATCCCCTGCAGTCATCAGAAACTTGAGAATGCGGTTTGGCCTTATACTGTCACAAATGCAATGTAACTTGAAACACAGGATTATATCCTAAATGTTCTAAGAGCTTTTCACTCGCTTTACCACAACACTGTGAGCCAAAATCTCCTCTGACTCATATCACACACAGCCTTAGCAAGAGAGGGTGAGTTTATGGGATGAGTGCAAAACTTTTAGCCACATATCTTAAAATGGACACTGATTTCTACCATGATATCAGAATATAAAAAAGGAGCCCTTTAAATTATGAGAACTTAACCCATATCAAACCAATAGATCAAAAAGAAATCCCCCCCAAAACCCCCCTCTGAAATGCATAGGATCAAAAATTAAAATAATAAAGCTTAAATAACAAAAGACAATCATAAATATTTAGGAATTGTTTTAATAAATTAGAGAGTCAGTCAGCATATCTGGTAAATTATTTATGTAATCACATGTTATAAAACCTTTAGTATGATAAACTCAAATAAAGGTCCTTATTATCCTTTAGGTGGGTAAGCTCAAAGCTATGGTGATTTCCAAAAAATATAAGGGAAGAAGTGAAAGGACCATTGAAGGAAGCCAACCTTGCATCAGTCCTCCTAGGTGTTTCCCTCTGCCTCCCCTTTTAGTTAACCAGGCAAACTGAACCCAAGAATGAGCAAGAAAAGCATGTTCATAACACAATTAAGTTACTTATCCCAGAGTTTGCAGCTCCTTGGGTGTATCTACACATGCTATTAATGCTATAAAGACTTACTGTGCAATAAAATACATGTGCTTCCTATTAGGAGACAGTGTGCAATAACCTAATAATACTGTGCAATAGCATGGCAGGCAAAAAACATGCTAATATGTTACTGTACTGTAGTATTAAGCTATTGTACAGTAAGCGTCACTAAAAAACCGTGTGCCAGCACTACTGTGCAGTAAATGTAATTACTGTGAATTTATTTAGTACTTCATTAAGCAAGTACTAAACTAAATCTTCAGTAACTAATGCACATTATGAATGTGTAGATGCACCCAGGATTAAAATCCCAGTGCAAGACTGCTCCTACCCTGATCTGGCCCTTTGCAGCAGCCAGGGGGAGCTCCCTGGGGTGCTAGCCCAAGGTTCTGGCAGGAAGCATGGGAGCGAGTCCCAATGTAAATGGGGCCAGGAGAGCTCTGCTAGTTCGGGAGAAGTCTTAATCTGTATGGGGCTGGGAGACAGCTGCCACTGCAGAAATCTCCTGGCCCTGTGCACATGGGGACAAGCTGGCAGCTGGCAGGAGCTGTCCTGCTCTGAGGCAGCTCCCAGTTAGCCCTGAGCTGCTCAGAGAAATCCATACCCAGTCAGGGGCTGGTTTGGAGCTGCCTCCAAAGCGGGAAAGCTCCTGGCCAGCCTCTGGCTATGCAGAGAAACAGAGAGCTCCTCAGTCCTAGAACTGCTCAGCTTCTGGGTCCTGTGGGGAACCAGAAGCTGAGCAGTACTGAGATGGGGTGGGAGGAAGGGGAGAGCAGACAGCTACCCTGTCCCAGTACTGCTTTGCTTCTGGCTTCTGGGGGAAGCTGAGCAGCACCAGGACCAGGAGGGTTCCCAATCACTTGCGTCCCCCTGGAGTTGAGGCTGACCAGGAGCAAATTAGCTCCCCACCATAGATTCATTGAATCATAGAAAATGAGGGTTGGATGGGACCTCAGGAGCTCATCTAGTCCAACCCCCTTCTCAGGGCAGGACCATACCCAACTATATCATGTTGCCCTGTGGGGTCAGGCCAACTCTCAGGATCTCAAAAGTGCACTGCTAGGTGGGAGGGTATGACAGAATTGCACATATACAAACACACAAATCAATTAGGTGCATACACACACACACTACGAACTCAGGCACATACACATCCAAGATTACCAGCCTAGGCACATGCATACCTATCACCAATTCAAGCACATATATGCTGTAATGATAATGACATGAAATCATACACAATACACATATACATACACATATACACATAGGTTAAACACTGACTTAGGTGACAGTATGTGTGTGTTGGTGCCTGTGGTACCTATGCTTGAGGTGCTTGGTAACTAAAGAGCAGGTGGCAGAGATCAGGGGAAAAGGCAGTGGGGGCAAGGAAATAACAGTAACAGAGATCAGGGGAAAAGGCAGTGGAGATAAGGCAATAGCAGTGGCAGAGATCAGGGAAAAGGCAATGGAGATACGGCAATACAAAGAAACAGGGGTTTGCAGGCAGAGAGGAGCTCAGGATAGCTGGAGCCACAGGAGCTCAGGACAGATGTTGGAGGTGGCAGTGAGCTGGAAGCAGGAGAGGAGGGGTGAGGAGCAGAAATTGAAGCAGGGATGGGACCGTAGTAAAGCAAACCCCAACTCAGGGGTCCAAATAACAGGTTTATTAAA